TTTTTTCTTTTCTTTTTCCTTTACCTGTTTGCTTACTGTCTGGTCTTTACAGAAAGATTTCTGGGGATCTCTAAATGCAGATTGATATTCCTTAAAATTGTTGTATAGGATGTAGAGTTAAATTAATATAGTGGGAAATATAAAGAGATAGACATTTACTTAGAAGTTGGTTCCTGCACATGGAAGAATTGGAAAAATATTCTTGTGGTAGTAACTATGAAACCAATGACTCATTCAATTTTCTCTAGAAATAAAAATGACTATTTTCTTCAAATCTTCATTTATGGAAAAGAAGGTAGAAATTCACCTACCATGAAAGCTCACCAAACTTTCCCTAACAATTACGAGAGGTAGGGCAGTCCAGATCATGCAAAATTATCAACAAACATGTAAAATTATCAACCTTTTGAAAAAAGGTTCCAAGCCATGGATAATGGCTTACATTTTCAAGCAGTATCCAATTAAACAAAAGCTCAGTATAACAGCAGAATTTACAAAGTCCCAGAATTAACTTGAAAGAGTACTTCATGCTTACCTCTAAGCCTGAACTAAAGCACATGCAATCGCGTTTGTAAAATTACAGTATATTCACCATCTTTTGGCAACTCTCCTGGAATATAACACCAAGGCTCACGTCACTTACCCTACATGTTATTTGAAACATCTAAAAATAAATGAGGAGATAAAAAAACAGAGGTGATCTCATTTCCTGTTTCAGCTCTTTAATGCACCAAAAGGAGCCAAGAGCCTAGGTGTCTGGGGGGGTGGTAAGGTGCAGTCAGGCTGTACTACATTTCTTAGTGTCTTGTCAGACAATTGAACTTTTGGGCTACCTTCAGTGGTCTGGCGGCCATGCAAATGCTCCCTATTGGTTCCTTGTTAGAGAAATTTTCCCAGTTATTTTCAGGAGGTAGTTGAATAACAAGAGAATGGAAGGTCTGTGTTCTCTGTGACTTGGGGCGAGGTAGGAGGCAGGGGTACGCTTATGGAGCAGGAAGGCTGGGCAACCTCATGGGCAGTGCGTAAAGCTGAGATTGCTCTGTTCCAAGTGATAAGTACAAAAATACTGGCCTTGGAACTGTATCTTGAAATTCAGGCCTATAGCTTCTGATGTGCTCAATGGCATTTGTTGGACATGGTGCCTAAAGTTCAGTAGCTAGCTGTTCTTAGCTGGTGTCACCCTAGGAGAAAACCCTAAGAGAGAAAGCCAAGCCCACCCTTTTGTGCCACGGCCTCTCTAGTCTGACCTATCTGAGCACGTCAGAAACAGCACAAAGCGAAGGAACAGCCCTGCCTCACCACCTCTGCAGCCATGTCCCCACTGCAAGGCTTCGCGTTCTTCCTCAAACCACCAGAAACCATTCAACTTGTCGTTTTTTCCCTGGTTGTCCCATTGCCTCCTGTGTGAGGGTTTAAACAGAATATCTGTTGATAGTAAATGGCTTTGTTTTATTTATGGACCATAGTAAGTTTTACAAAAGTGTTTATATTTCTGCAGATAAACAAAACACATCTGTTTCAAAAAAAGAAAATCTGCCACCACCCCAAAGTGGGAGGGATTCTGGCCGAGCAGCGTGGGTTTGGGAGGCGCACGGGGAGGTGGTCAGAGCCGCGCAGGCTGGCCGGCAGCTTGGCCCGGACACGGCTCCGTGCTGCCTGCGTGATGAAAGCGACATAGTATAATTCCACTGTGAACGTGCCACTCTACTTTGTTTGAAGCCCACATTGCTATAATCATGCTTTATTGTTCCACACAGCCAGACTATCAGTGGTATGCTCCTGACCAGCTTCCGCCAGATGTGCAGCACAAGGCGAATGGTAAGACCACAGTTGTATTGAGCATTCTTTCGTGTTTACATTTTCATGGGATCTTCGGGGGATGTTTACTCAGCATACATTCATTCGTACTCCGGGACGGCCTACTACAAAGCGGTGCTGCGTACACAACTCTAATTTGACGCACCTGGGGTTCCACTGCACTCCTCTAGGAAAAGAAAATGCTGGAATGCAGCAGTGCCTGGGTTTCAGCTCCGGCTCCAGTTCCCAGTCCAGTCTCAGCATCAGTATCCCATCTGGGGTTGGAAACGAAAACGTGAAGCAGAGCCATATTTCAACCACCACCACCAGGCTCTGTGTTTCTGCCATACAGGCCAGCTGCACACCCACTCCTCCAGGTTGGGTTTGCTGGACAGATGTTTTAAATGTCATTGGCAGACAGACAGAGGAAACCGAAGGCTCAGAACTTGTTCCCTAATGACTCAATGTCAGGCTCCAAGTTTAGGCCAGGGCTGCCGACAACACCCACCTCTAAGCATGCTAGGAAGCTAAGAAGTCACCTATGGAGTGCTCACACTAACAGTGCTCTTTCATCTTATTTTATTTTATTTTTTGGTTTACTATTCCCCTCCTTCTTTCCAGAATCTGCTATCCTTTCCATGGTCTCATGAGACCACCCAGGAGTGGGATGTACCTACTGGGCGATAACCATAACCCCACTTCTCCGCTCCTCACGTATAATCAAAAGTCAGCAATGTCTGAGATGTGTTTACAATCTCAGCCGACAGACAACCTGTGAATCTAAGTTGTTAATTTCCAGAGATTTGAATGTGTCTAGAAAAGCTGAAGATGAGCATACTTGAGGCCATACTTGAAATCTGATCTCCTTTTGTTCATATTTGAGATCGTGGAACTCTAGTTTTCAGACAAGGAGCCCGTTATGGAGCAGAAGCAGGGAGCCAGGGATACTACATGTAGTGTGGCAGGTTGTGAACCTCACAAGTCCACGGGCTTTTCATGGTTGTATAATAGGGCCTCTTAAACTTGTGCAGCACACAACCTGGACAGCTGTACACAAGACTGGCAAAAGCCAGTAGCATTATAGAGAAGAAAGATAAAAAATGAGAACACTATAATAAAGTAGGTATTTATCAGAAAAATGCAGGATTTTCTTTTTTCTTTTCTTTCTACTACAAATATTACCATTGGTTTTAATGAAATTGTTAGTTTCCAGCTGTAACGGAGAGCTTTTATTAGAAAGGCATACTATTAACCATAATGATTGTTGCATAAAGTCTGTGCTTTTGAAATCCATTGTTGTATAATAGCTGAGTTGCCACCCAATTATAATTTTCCTTTTTATCTTGGTCTGGAATTAATATTAAGGGTATTGTCTCCTAGAGTTGGAGTTTAATCAGTAGAAAATACAATTACTCAGAAGAGAATTCAGTAATATCATAGGCTTCTATACATCACTGTTGGGTCCCTCCTGCACCAATGTAACAGAAGCTAATAACTATATAAAATAGAAATGAATTGAGATGACCATCAGAAACTAAATAAAATATGCAAAAATAGAATTTTGCAGTTAGTGTATGAGACCTCCTGATTTTTGTCTATTTTGGAAGCAATATAATGAGCTTTGTGACACATAAACATGCTGTGTGACAGTGTCTACAGATGTAAAGTTAAAATAAAAAATAAACCTCTGTTATATACTAAATGTTTTTAAAATATTGTTTTAATCTTTACAACAATGCTATACAGTGGGTTATATTATGGTACCATTTTACACATGAGGAAACTGAGGCTTAGAGAATTTAAGTAGCATGCCTAAACCACAGTTAGCAAGAATTAGGCCTGGGATTAAATTCCAAGCATGTAGGACTCCAAAACCTGTGCTTTGAATCGCATCCTACAGGGCCCTTGAAAACCTGCCCCTCCTACTATACGAACATTGTCTAAAATGAGAGATATAAAAATGACAGTGGGGGCTTTAACTTGGATAATTACGGGACAAGTATCTAACCCCCAATAATCTCTTCTTCCTGTGAATGCACAGCATATATGATCCGCGCCCCTCATTTGACATTGAGAATAGCACAGGTGAAAGACCCAGTACTATGTAAGATTATGTGCATGGTAATATGTTATGAACTCATCTTTCCTGGACGGCCCTGGTTGGAACTGACCTGCTGGACATATTTGATGTCTGTCCTCCTCCTGCAGCACAGCTCTGCAGCTGACTGGCATGTCTGCAGCAGGGGTGAAGGCTGCCTGTGGCTAGGAGACACCGCAGAAAGAAATTCCTTACCCAAAACTCTCCCGGTCTGGGATTCCTATCGTTCCTCTTCTCGGTTCCAAAGCGGATGCTATTTCAAAACTCAAGCCAGGTCATCAGAATTGGCAGCAGCTCTGAAATCACCCTTGTCACAAACATCTCATGTGCCATTTTTAATTTCAGTAGTGATTCTTGGTTTTTGTTTTCTATGTTGATTTGGTGCATTTAACTGGAAAGCTTCTTTTGATTTGTAGGTCCAACCCAATTGCTCAGATTCTTAAAAATAATTTTGTGGTATCGATTGTTAAGCAAATATGGATTCAGAAATCTTTTATTATACAAATATTTTTGTTATGATAGCATTCATTGCTTTATTATATGACTAATATATTTACCCCCTCCCCCACGCTATTCAAGAATATACCACTAGTCAAGATATCCTGTATTTTGGGCTGCAAATACCAAAATTCAAGCAATAGAAGTAAAAAAAATGAGTGGAAAAATTAGACTGTGTCTCTGATCATCTACAAACAGAAATTATTTCTTAAAACTACTATAAGTTTTATTTATATAAGTACTTAAAATACTTTACTTATATTTAAATGAAAATTATCCGTTCAGAAATGTGAATATTTAAATCAATATTAATTAGTATGTGCACTTTATAGGTTGTCCTACTTCTCAGTTTTTATTAATTTCCTATGACTGCTGAAAAATTTGCTTGTCTGGCCCCAATATATGTAGCACATCATATTTTTATCCTAGTATTGTCCCCTTATAATTATTACTTTTATGACAATTTAACCTTAAATGGTGGCTCTGATGTCTATACATGAAGTGTTTGTGAAACAGTAGCCTTGTGAGTTTTAAAGATACAGTGGGGTAAAAGGTGATGAAATTTCTACGCTGTCACCAGGCCCTCCTTTAACATTCCTGGAGCCTGGGGCAAGGCTACCTGGAGAGCTGCATACCATGTGTGTAAATATTTAAACGTTATGAATGGAGCTTAGAAACTGTTGAAGTATAGTCTATCCTCCTGTTGATAAATGTAGCTGGAAGGCCAGAATAAAATTTAGAATGCTGAGAGTCCAGCCAGCTCTTTGCCAGGACACAGTGGGCCAGGAAGCCCTGACCCGTGTGGCCTGTCCCACCTTACGCTGTGAGGGGTCTGACTGTGAACGTGAGGCAGCCCAGCCAGCACAGCCCGACTACATCCATATGCCCGTCGCCCGTCCACAAACAGCGCCCTGTGGCCAGGCCTCGGGCAGGGGGAGAGGATGCTGGCATGAGGCCTGAAGCAGGCCCGAGGTCACTTAAGCAGAGGGCTTGGAGGTCGGCCTGTGGGTGTCACAATCTTATTCTAGAGGAAGGCGGGAGCCCTCTGCGAGGGGAGGGATGGCTGGAGGACAGCCAGAGCAGGTCTTCAGATCAACGCACTTCCAGCTTTGCTCCCAGTTGCCGTCTGTGGTTATTTTAGATTATTTGTGTGACACATTGAGAATCAACTCTTTTTTCAAAAACTGAAGATTTAAATAAAGATGTTCAGGGCATTTGAGGCTTATTTGACTTTATGCATAGCATGAGATGATGGTATTTTTATACATTGCAGTCCACAGATGTTAATGGGTTACAGTTTCTGTTTAGAAACATGTGATTTTACACAGAACATTTTAATCTCATTTCATCTGTTATCAAAATGGAATGCAAAATGACTTCCATGCTTCTAGAACAATCATGGCATAGTAGAGTTACGGTAACCTTGAAAACATGTTGTTTGTGTCTTCCTTTGTGAAATGTCAGAAAGGTATGTTTTCTGACCATATCACTTGCCAGTCATTTCTGTGCCGTCCAAGTTGTTCATATGGTGCAGAGCTGAACTTCATCTCATGCGCTGGAGCTCAGCTCTTACGTACTTGGAAGGCAGAATGTGCAGGCATGTGAGATTGTGTTCTGAGCAAACACAATTATTTCTTTACATTATAAAAGATCAAAGTCCAACTATTATAATTGGCCTTTGCTAAAGTCTAATAAGGACTAAGTAGCTGAATAGTGACTGAATTCTTTCCCTAGGACTGCCATACAAAGCACCACAAAGTGGGGTCTCCATACAGCAGAGACTTATTCTCCCACAGCTCTGGAGGCTAGAAATCCAAAATCTGGGTGCTGACAGAGCCACACTTTCCCTGGAGCATGGAAGGAGGACCCTTCCTCGCCCCTTCCAGCCTCTAGTAGCCTCAGGTGTTTCTCAGCTTGTGACAGCGTAACTGCCATCTCTGCCTCCATCTGCACATAACCATCTTCCCGCTGTGTCTGTGTCTGTGTCCGAACTGTCTTGTCCTTACAAGGACACCAATTATATTGGATTAGGCTAATCTAGTATAACCCCATAGTAACCTGATCATGTCTGAAAAGTCCCTAATTCAAAATAAGGTCACACTCACGGGTACCAGGGGTTAGGACCTCAGCCTATCTTGTGGGGGACACAGTTCAACCCATAACACTAACTATATGTGTTATGAAACTACTTTAGGTTTCCTTATATATGTTACCTTATCAAAACCTTATAGCAGCTTTATGAAATGAGTATTGCTATTGCCCTGCTTTATAAATGTGGAAACTGAGGCACAGGGCGCTAAGGGAACTGGTCCACATGTCTAGGTATTGGCTGGGACATAGAGAAGCCCAGGCAGGCTGACTCCAAGTCCACATGGCAACCATTACGCAGTATGCACTGTCTTTAGTCCAAGCTATACATTAAGTAAAATATAATAGTATCATAGTTTGCATGTATTTTATTGAAATAATTTCTAATGATCCTGTCCTGAAAGCCAGAATCTTTATTTTTCAGTGTGTGTCTGTTTATAACTATAATTTCTTTATATCTAAAAAATACATATAATTTTCATGGTTAAAATGGCTGGATTAGTTGGATATTTATTTTTAGTTACTGGAAGTATGAAGCAATAAAAGGAACCAGTATAAGTAGTAAAAGCTACTTAAGAGATGTAAGAAACAAAAAACTTAAGAGACCATAGTTAGTATAATTTTCAATAGAGATGGATAAAATATTAAGAATGTTTTTCTTTTTTTCATTATAAAAAGGAACTTAATTTCTTAAAAAGAAAAATATTATTTTCTTGTTTCCCTATTTAAAAAATAATAAATGATTCCAAATTAAAAAAAATAATATTTTTCTTTTATAAAATACATTACTTTCTTAATTATCATACCAGTGTTTAATATAGAAGATGGAGCAAAAATTTAGAGACAGATAAATTTATGCCTATTTCTAGGTTCTTATGAAAAAGATGGCAGGAAAAATGCCTCCTCACCTTGTAATGCTGTAAAGTTCATCTTATCAGGAAACTCAGTGATTTTGCTAAGGGAACATTAAAGTATAAAAGTATGTTTTAATGTACATGAATATATTAAAACATAGGTGACAAATATATTCCTATTCAAACATAGATTTTATAAACAAATAGTAAACATTCGAATTAAATACTAAAGCAAATGCTAACCATTCTAATTAACAACTATTACATGTAGATACACGTATGTATACTACATGTGACTAGTCTAGACTAGTTTCATGAGCAAAATGCATAAAATAAGTCTTGACAAGTCACAATTCCACCAGGTAAATAAAATTGCAGTCATCCTTTTAAATGGAAGGTAAAAACCTATAGGGAAGGAAAACCTGTACGTATTATATTGTGTATCCCAACTGGGAAGAGCGCTTACTTGCCTATATTTCCTGGCTGTTCACGCCTGAGTGTCCACATTCTAAGAGGTTAGCGGGCATGTGGAGAGGGCAGGGTCACCTCAAGGCTGTAACCACTGTGCTGATGGCTGCCCACGCCCCTCTGAGCACCAACTGAACTTAGGAGTCAGCTGACCCTTGATGTGCAGTCAAGACACGACCTCTGCCACCAAGATCTCTGGGTCCTATCCAGATCACTTCAGAATCATGTTACTTAACCCACACTCTCGGGAGCACAAAAAACAGAGCATAGGCGACACCAGGAATAATAATCAGGTGCACAGTGAGTGCAGGGTTCTTCACCCGTCAGTAAGACAAAGCCAGCTCTTCCTTGCCCCGTGAGGCCCACGAGTGCCTGTCTTGTCTCTCTTGCCCTGCCATTATGACCGGGGAGCCACGGCTCATGACAGAAATGTCTCCGAGCCACCACACTGGATGGGGACGGCCTGCCTTCCCTTCAAGCGACTTAGGACCCGCCTGTTTTTATTCAGATCTCCACCCTGCCCTGCAGTATCCCATGGGATCCAGTCTCTTCCCATCTAAGACACAGGGATGGTGACCTTTGCCTCTAGACCAGCGGTTCTCAACCTGTGGGCCGTGACCCCTCTGGGGGTTGAACGACCCTTTCACAGGGGTTGCCTAAGACCATCGGAAAACAAAAATATATTTACATTACGATTCATAACAGTAGCAAAATGATAGTTATAGAGTAGCAACAAAAATAATTTGATGGTTGGGGGTCACCACAACATGAGGAACTGTATTAAGGGGTCACGGCATTAGGAAGGTTGAGAGCCGCTGCTCTAGACCTAGTTCATAAGAGTGCTGTCAAAATAATAAAGGACTTAATTTTCCTTGCCATTTTGAGATACCCAGGAGTAAGTATCATGAATGGGTCAAATCTAAACTCAGGTTGGGTTAGTGGGTTACGTTTCTGGGTCCACACTTACGTTCTGAGCATATGATCTAACTTTTTAATGTCACAGCCAGTTGTCAGAAGCATGCATTTTTAAAATACTGGAAAAGTAACTTATTATCTTCCTGTTACCAAAATTTTTGTTCACCATGTCTCTGAAATACCAAATACAGGCCGCAAGGATAAAGCATTGAATAGATTCTAAGTTGTTATCATGAATACGGAAAGCACTGTATTTCTTGGCATTTCTATGGGTTTTTTTCCTGCTGCCATGAGTAGGGGTCTTTGCTTTTGCCTCCCTGTGGTATGTGCTCATGGCATCCTGCCCTGGTCCTACTGTTATAGAATACGCCAAATTTTTCACCTTGGTCTTCACAATACACTAACGCCCCGTAAGCACTGAGATCTTCCCTATGTCTCCGACAATCACGTACCCAGATGACAACCAGGCCACTGCTGACCTCACAAAACGACAAGCATGTGTCAATGCTTAAAGCAATGACCTTCCGGGTCCCTTCTCTCAGAGTTTCAGTGGACACTTGTGGGGAGCTCATGAATAAAATATTTCTGTGTTTACCAGGCTAGAAGCTTATGATAACCCTAAACCAGGAGAAAAGTGAATTTCTGATTTTTAATCTGAAACATTTTCCTGCTGTTTTTCACAGGTTTCTCCTCAGAAAAGAAAGTCAATCAGTAATGCGCGGGGCAAAGGGAGAGCCAGGCTGGGCCCTCGTTTTTTCTTTTCACTGTGGCTCGTGTCTGCCTCTACTGTGCGTCATCGGCACCACCATTCATGCAGTGTTTCCTTTTGGCATCGATAGAGGAAAAGACTTGTGGCAGCTGAGATCCTGATTGAGTCTGCGGGGCCAGGACTACAAAAACTAACACAGTGGCCCGTGTCCTTAAGATATTTCAAGGGGCACATGGACTATGCCCCACTCCCTGAAACCTCTCCGCTTGTATCGCGGTTGGATTTACAAGATAACTTCATGATTTCAGCAATGCCCCTGTGGATGCAGTAATACTGCATGCTGACTGAAAAGCGTATCCCCTGGCGTGAAAGTATCTGCACTTGTAACTTTTTATCCTTGCTCCCATGTTTTCATAGGGACTTCTTAGTTCTTTAGCCGGTTTAACTAGATACTCTGTGCATCACAGCTGGCCTCAGTGAGCCTCTACATAAGATTGAAGAGGTGTGCGTGCTTCCTTAAATGAGTGGTTCAGTCCGAATAAAATTATAAACATGACGCTATTCCTTAAACCGATCATTCCTTTAAGATGATGAGAAATTGCGAGCCTGCTTCATTTTCAGGTGGACTAGATTGTGAAAGATGGACTCCTAACGTGATGGTGACGACTTGGCTGCAAGTGTAGGCACTCACAGAAGTAGTTCAGGGCATTATGGGTTTGCAGCGAAATCTGTGCTTTCTTTCCTATGGACTCAAGTGTTATTAATGAAAAGCATAACTGTGATGTCTCCAACCAATAAAAATGGAAAACAAATGTATCCAATTTTATTGCAATTAAATTGCACAGTGGCATGACAGCTGTGTAATGATGAAGCCAATTTAAAAGTATTAAGTTCATCCACTTAATGAGGACTGTGCTAGGACCACCTGGAGACCCTCCTTGTGAGGAGAATGAGACCCGCTGATATTAGTACTTCTAGAAGCACCTAGAGAAAACCAGGACCAGCTGCTGGAGATTGTCACATAAAACAATCCAGACATACCATTGAGACTATCAAGTTACAACGTCCAGAAGTTACACTGTTTAATTCCAGCTCAAACTTTTTTTTTTTCAATTTCTGGAAATACTTGAAGCTTTGTATAGAGGGAAGGTAAACGAGCCTTAGAAAGGTAAATACTTTCAGCATCAGCCTTTAGCTACTCAAACACAATTCTCAAGAAGGAATTATCCTTCTCTTACATGAATTCCCTAAGCTTTGTTTTTACTACTACACATTAAAGAGGCAAATCATTCTTGGGCAATACTTCAGTATAAGTGAATCAGAAAAACAACAGAATTAACAAGTCAGTCACACTGAAACATTTCAGCACTTTTTTTTTTCTTTAGCTGAGCCATCCTGCCACCTGTTGGCAGCTCAGCGGCTGCTCAGCTCGGGCCGTGAATCAAACCGGGGACTCTGTTGCTCAGAGCTCAAACTCTTGAGCGAGCTCTTAACCAACTGAGCCACTCGGCCGGCCCTTAGCACTTTTTCAAATTGTCCATTTTCTCAAACTAGTGAGGAAGTCATTGTGATATCAGCTTTAGTAGTGGATTAAGTTTGCCAGCTGAGGTGTGCCCATCAGAATGAAGATGGGCTATACATACAAGAAGGACCCCTGATAGGCTTGCTGTGATTCAAGTCCACGGCCGTAAAACATGAAGTAACCATCCTATTACTATCACTGAAGTCATCCCATTACTAATTAGCAAGTTGTCAAACATGGACAGGATTGTGCGAATGCTAATGGGATGGAAGGACATCCAATTCAGCGAGAAGAGGCCCCCTTGCTCAGCGCGCAACTGCTGCTCCCAGAAGACGGGTTTCCTCAGCCCTGGCCTGAGAGTCCCTTCTGTGTCCCTCTCTCTCCCCGTACCATTTGTCTCAGCTCATTATGAGGGCCATACCCCACAGCGGTGGCACTTGCTTTATTATCACACACCATTTGTGGGAATTTCACTTTATTCTAACCAATATCAGAAGGAAGAGCACAATTTATGAGGCTCATGACATGCTGGTTTGGTACACTACACCCAAACCTTAGGGCTTCCCAGTGTGCTTAACTTAGCTCTGAGAATCAACTTGCTGGGAAAATCCACCTTACTGACTGATGTCCCCGAGTCTCCCGCTGACTGGCAGGCTGGAGAGTGCTTCGATGGCTGGCGATTCCGTCTGCACATTTGTGGGGGACCCGCCTGGCCTCCTTCCCCGTCATCTGCAGCCACAGGATGGTGGCCCACAGCATGAGTGCACCCCAGACACACACAGCGGGCAGAACGCGCCCCTCCACTCAGACCCGCTGCAGGCAGGAGAGTGGCTTATGTTGCAGCGGAAGACGAAGTGGCCGAGGAGACTGGTGTCTTTCTTGGTTTCCAAGCATCCATTCCATCTTCTTTTTTGGGATGCTATCTCAATATCCTATAGGAGAGTTACCTCTTTCCCCACTGGACCCAGTTTCATCGAAAGTGCCCTGTCTCCTCTGCAAGGGACAGCCATGTGATCCAACGCAGGTCAAGTGGAAGGCCCTCTGCTGGCATTTGAGCTTCAAGCCAGCAGGAGCCTGGGGGAGGCAGAGGCTGCTCGCTGGGCGCGTGAGACTGACCAGGCCCTGCAGCTTCCCTGGTGTCCACGTGAGGAGCCCACAGTCTCTCTCCCAGCTCCTTCGTTCAGCTCCTCCCTCAGAGTTCGTTTTTCTAGCTGGAAACAGAGGAATCTTAATCAATCACAAATGTGGCAATTAAAGCTCAGAGGGTTTATGGCAAGGGTATTGTGAAGAGTATACAAATGTGTATGTATGTGTATATATAATATGTATATGTGTATTATATGTGTGCATATATACATATATGTGTGTGTATATATACACATACATACACATTTTTTTCTTTATGATCTTTAAAAATAAAAAATCAGCTATGATATGATCAGATGAGTTAAACAATTCAAATGTTATGCTTGCTGGTCTTACAAAATTTTACCTTGGATCATTGTGTGGTATCCTGTAATATACTTGAAAGTGGAAAACAGCATAATAAGAAATAAAATATGATTCTCTTCACTTGAATTTTCTCCTAAATCTGACAAAGCCCCTTAAGAAGATACTTTGATGAAGCAACCTTAGGAAAAGTTCCAGTGAAATTAAAAGCACCAAAGCCCATGTCTAATTTCCTTATTTCTTTTTCCAAAATGCTTACTTGCACATAACTGATAGTTTCCATTTTAACAGATTGTCAATAAATCAATCATAGGAAATAGAAGTTCTCTGTGTAAGAACTATACCAAATGGGTTCTACTTTTAAAACCAGTGGGATGATGGCGCTTCCTTCCAGCAAAATTAAGCGGTAGTATTTTAAACTTCAGGTTACTCTGCAGCAAAATGCTAAATCAAAGACAGACAAGCTCCTGGATGAGAAGTTAAGGTAAAATTCCTAACAGCTTAACAAATTTCTGTGAATTAGTACATTTTTGGACAATTGTTCAGCTCTCCACATAGCCTAACTCTCATCTTGATGAGCAATCTGTTTTGGATGTTATTATTCGTCAATGTCATTTATTAGAAGTTCCTTTTGTTTGTATAAAAATGGATCGTGTGTGCAGTGGTGGAAAATCAAAAGGAAACAGAGGCATTTCCTATCCTTTCCATTGTCTCAGGAAGATGACTCCAGCAGCTGTGGGAGCACTCAGAGAGGCCAGAGGAGTTGGAAGTGTCTCTCAGTTTCCAACGCAGTCCTTCATCTTTCAATGTCTCTGGAAGTACGTCTTCCTTATATAAACCACAGGAGGCAATCAGTCAAAGTTTGGTGATTTAAGTTGAGCAAATTTAAATATTACAATATTCAACTGTTCTAGCAAAATTTTCTAAGTGTTTTTCAATAATCAGCAACATCTAGAACCACTTTTCCCAAATGGAAAACTACCCTTTAATTAATTTTTATATTGTTCTTAGTTCAATAAGGTTCTAACAATATGACAGGAATTCATCCTTCTCATAAAGCATTAAAGGTTAACCTTAGTACAAAGATTAATTAATAGGAAATTTGATAAAGTAAAAATGTTTTTTTTTTAATATAACGAAGTGGTGGGTTCAAATTAAATTAGATCTCATTTAAATGGGACTTTCTCCCATTACAGTAGCGTTTGCTCAGTCTTGCCAATGTTGGGCTCTTGTGTTTGTTTTGCCTCCGAATGCTAATACATGATGATGTATGGTTTGCAAATAGAGTCACTTTGCAAACAGGAAAGGGCCTATCCGAGAGAGACGCCAAACAAAGGCACTGACCCTGGGTATTTCATGGCATTCCTGAGTTGCTGAATGAAACCCGGGAGCCTCCCTACACCTGAAACTCTAGTTGCAGGCAGCAGCAGTGTCCCTGTTGGTCAAACCACTTTGAGGGAAAGCCACAGGTGTGCCTCTTCAGCAATATGGCGGCAGGTGAGCTGCATGTTTTCGAGGCAGGTTTGGTTATCTGCTTTAGTCATGCATCCTTATAGGTTTCAATTCTCATTTTTCCCAGCCTCAGTCCGTGGTTTCATTTTGAGCCATCACTTGGAATTCTGAAGGGGTGTATCTATTATGAGGCTACCTCTTAAGTCCCTCTGCTTTCTGAAAAAACAAAGTAGAACGAAAATATGTATCTATCAGGAAAAAATATGGAGAGGTAACTAGCTACAAGTCAAGTGATGAATAGGCTCCTCTGTGGTCTCATAGCAAAGCCATTCTTTGAACTTAAGAACTTGGCCTAAAAGTGAGTATCTTCATCATATGGGTTAGATGTATTTCAGAACATTGCCTGTGTTAAAAACTAATGCTGGGGATTTATTTGTTGTCAGTCACGATGAAAAGGCTTATCACTAACAAAAACTCCCCCAAGTAGAACTGAACTTAAAAACTCCCAGCAATAAGAGACTGGTCATCGGGTTCGAAACATGTTTGCTGTTGAACCACTGGACGTGGCCCGCAGTCGGCTGAGCCTTGCGAAGATTTCTCGCATGGTGGTGGGGGGGGGGGCGTTATTCCAGTGTTGCTACCAGTTTTCAGTGACTCCAAGGGGATGGGACTGCTCGCATTCCCAAATTATTTGATCACATGTTTGTGATTGCCCAGGTTTAGTGTTTCTCCCACTTCTGAGTGGGTATATAGTATACAAACAAGGCCCCTTTGGGACTGTGTCTTCCCTGAACTTGTCTCTGCGCCAAGACCCTGACCGAAGACAGCGTTTTCTCATCTTTCACACAAGGAAGGTGAGCTATACCCAGTGTTTCTGGAACTTTCCCACTGAAGAGCCTCTACTGGAAAGACAAAAATGAATGTGTTTGGAAGAGGGACACCGTCTGAAGATTTCCATGATAAAAAATGCAGGCCAATTTTTCAGATACATGTTAATTTTCATATATAAATAACTGAATACAATTGAGATGTCAGAAAGATGTGCTATGTGTATTCTGTGACTACTTATAGTCCAGACAGATCCTATTTCTCCAGGAATATGCCTTCTGTAGTCTGAAAACTTGGCAAAACAGCGTCTTCCTGTTCTAAAATCTTAAGAATTTGTTTCTAATAATATTAGGCTGCAATATCATATATCGTCAGTAGGTGCCGCCACTTCACAAAATTTACTAGAATGAAAATTCCTTCGTTCAACCTCCGTTAACTAATTAGTACATTTTAAAGTTAGTGTCATAAATGTAGAAGATGCATTAAAAAGTAGCTTTATTTAAAATAGGGGTATTTTTCACTAAGAATCTGGAAAAAGTTAAATTCTGTAGATAAGTGCTGTAGAAAAGTCTGTAAAATTTAGTGCGACCAGT